AAGACAATAAAGACATACGTATTAGTTGTCAAAAACGCTGATAATTGTCTCCGTGGCGTAGGCGTCCTGACAATAGTTATGACAATTAATTTTGAACAAAATGTCAGATGTGAACGTTGTATTATAATATGCATTTCGCGCTTAAAACTAAAAATAAAGAGAGACATACACATCAGCGTTTTTTCAGTTATTATAGTTCTTTTGTTACGGTATTCTCTCATTTCTTCCACAAGACGTCAAAATCACTGCATACGTCAAATCACTGTCACTGTTCAAATTCAATATCTAAGTTAGGCTGACTTCCAAAACGTATCACGGTGCAGCGAACAAAGGTGGCGCCGTCAGTGGTACCGCTACTTTGGTTTTGCCGATTTTGACAGTTGTGGTAATTTGTAAATAAACCTTTGTTTACAAAACAGCGAAAGATAAATTTGAATTATAAGTGAAAAATCAGTTTAAATTGTGTTAATTTGCAATTTGTGAGTGATTTTTGAGTTGAAGACTGCGTAAAAACTAATAAAATGAAGAGCTGTGTGTTAAATTGCGACAGCCATCAAGATGCCAGATGCGTAGGTGCAAGTGTAGCGCTGGGACGAATCGCTGCATTTTGTGTACATAGGACACANGAGTGATTTTTGAGTTGAAGACTGCGTAAAAACTAATAAAATGAAGAGCTGTGTGTTAAATTGCGACAGCCATCAAGATGCCAGATGCGTAGGTGCAAGTGTAGCGCTGGGACGAATCGCTGCATTTTGTGTACATAGGACACAGCAAAACCGTTCTCGAAATGTTTCTTTATTATGCCATTAACAGCATTTCCTCACAATGATTTTGCTTCTGCTCCCAGCAGAATCCATTAGCAAGTTAGCTAATCAATCCCGCTGAGATGCTGCCGAAGTTTTCTGCACCAAAACGTTTGCTGAAGCAGCCTCAATTGCAAGGCAATGGAGTGCACTAAAATGTTACCTATTCTCTAATAGATTAGGTAAATATGCAATATTTTCGCATTTAGCAAAATTAAAACACGTTTTTCGCTGTAAGGTGAAATGTTTTGGCAGTTTCAACTCGTTCTTCTTTTCGCTCTATTCTTTGTTTACTTGTGGTACTCAAATGTCAACGCACAGGGCGGCGCAATCTTGTATTCTATCATTCTTGAAAACGTATTAATACAATGTTTGAATATTGTTATACTGCGGCATGATTCAATAACACAAGGTTAGATAATTATTGACAGCCACGGTTTGACACTCCCTTGCAAAAGGTTGCATTTACGAAGGGCAGAGAAAAGGGGAGAATGCAATCCCTTGTTGAGAAAATGGTAGTAGAAAAGTACGCAAAGTAGGCAATTAGTAGTGAAATTCCTTTTGTAAATTCTAATGTATTTGCAGGAAATCTGGCAGTTTAAACGAAATATGGAACGAAATATTAAACATCTACGTGAATTACGTAATTTATGTGCTATTTAGCTGTATAAAAAATGCAAAAGGACTCAAAAATAAAATAAAACTACTATTGGATTTATGTAAACATCCAATTTAAAAACAATTTATGTTTTCATCAGTTAAATGTGCTTCATATGCATATACAAATAAACATATTGCACAAAAGCTTATACTTCTATTTCACAGAAAAGCTACACTTTTTCCAAGGAAATTTGCAAAGAAGCAACACTCTGCCACTGCCAAGGGAGCGGTGCGAGAGAGACAACTGTCAGTTTATCGAACCTTGTATTATTGAATCATGATACTGCGGTATTCAAACTGTTTGTATATGCAGAGTTGCGACATATTGCAACTATATACATTGCATATTTTAAATATTCAATATAGCAATGAACAATTTTTCTGAATTTTCCATTTTTAAAACACCAATGTTAACCAATAACACACGAAGCATCAACTTTGTTTCTGATGCGCTGATTGCTCTAGCGATGCGTTTCGATAACTTTTCGTATGGACGATCCATACAAACTGTATGGGCATGGAGATATTTTTGTATTTGTATATTTTGTAGTTTTGCGTCATGGAACATTATGCTTTGTACGTATGCATATATAAATGCAATTGAAGTTTAATCGATTTATAAACAGAGTACGAAAATAAACTGTACAAAACAATTCCCATTTGCTCATCGATCATCATATCATTTGTGGTTTTGTACAGTTTTGTACATAGTCAGAAACAAATTGTAAGATTCACTGTCATTTTCCCCAACGAGAAACGTTTGCTTTTCGTTTGACAGTTGTACCATAGGGTACGTTTTATATGTATGCAATTACGTGAAAAATATTTTTTTCTATAAATTTTCATATCCAATTCAATTAAAAAACATTTTTATTTTTTTTTATTCATTGCTGCCATTCGTTTTGTGTTTAGTTATTGCATATGTGTATTTAGGTATATTAAAAAATATTTAATTTTCGTTTTTTTAAGTTTAACAAATTTTCCAGGTTTTATTTTATTGAATATTGAAAACTGAATAAATGAATATAAAAATTTTCAACTCAAAATTGATCGTACATAAATAAATGTAACAAGATATTTTCATAATTCAAAGTATTTTAAGAACAAGTGTTTAACAAGTAATGTGTATCACTACACTACTCCCCTCTTCCAAAAACTTTCATATCTAACAAATTAAAAGTAACTCGCTTCGTCTTGCTGGATGAACTAAGTTTACTTCCATCTAGAAATGCAGGCTTAACTCTGTCTATAGAAATATTTACTAATTTGTTGTGATAATTAATTTTGAACCACTTCGGTGTCTTTTCTATAACCTCGAACGGTCCTTCATATGGTTCCTGTAAACCAGTTCTTTTCCTATCAATTCTTACTAAAACAAATTTGCAATTATATAAATCTTTTGGAATATAAACAAGTGAATCTTTATGATGACATACTTTCGATTCATAATTTTTGAGATTTTGCTTTAATTTATTCAGTACATCAGATGAATCAAATTTTGTTTCAGACCGAACTACCATTTGCGAAGGAAGCCTTAAATTTTCGCCGTATAACATCTCCGCTGCTGTAGCGTGAATGTCTTCTTTGTAGGATGATCGCAAACCCAACAATACTATAGGTAACTCCTCATACCATCTGCTTGCGTTTCCACTAGCCATAATTGATGCCTTTAGTTGCCTGTGAAAACGTTCGACCATTCCGTTAGCTTGCGGATGGTAGGCAGTGGTTGTAATCTTATGACTTCCTAAAAGCTTTGTTAGTTCAGTAAAAATCTGAGAAGTAAACTGTGTGCCCTGATCTGTTGTAATTGTCAGTGGAACTCCAAAACGTGAAACAAATTCGCGGAAGAAAGTTTCTGCAACATTTTCCGCCGAAATATTTCGAAGTGGATATGCTTCTGGCCAACGGGAATTTCTATCGATAATAGTTAAAATAAATTTAAAATCGTGTGATAAGGGAAGAGGTCCAACGATATCCAAATGTATGTGCTCAAAACGTCCTTTTGGAATTGGTATTTTCGAAACTTGAGATTTTGTATGTCTATAAGTTTTACATTTTTGACAGTTAACACATTCTTTTGTCCACTGATTTATAGTTTTGTTCATCCCTGGCCAAAAATATCTACTTGTGATCAACCGACGTGTTGCTTTAACACCTACATGAGCTATATTATGTAATTTCTCAAAAACTAATTTTCGTAACATTTGCGGGACATATGGCCTTGTTGAACTAAGTGACGTTTCACACCAAATTTGAATATTTAAAGAGGGTATTGCTATTAACTCTAGTCTATGCCTACAATTTTGATCATATACTAATAATTTAATTTCTTCATCTTTGTTTTGTTCATCAAATAATCTTCTTAAGTTCAGGTCAGTAGCTTCTAATGCTGTAACTTCAGGAATCCTCGATAATGCGTCTGCAACACAATTTAAATCTCCTTTTATGTATTTAATATCACTAGTAAATTGAGATATGAATTCTAACTGTCTGGTTTGCCTTGGGCTTCTCTCAGCTTTTGAGTTCATAGCAAATGTAAGCGGCTTGTGATCTGTATATACTGCAAAAGATCTACCTTCTAACCAATGTCTGAAATGCTTAATAGTTAAATAAACAGCAAGTAATTCTCTATCAAAAGTACTATATTTACATTCAGACGGGCTTAGTTTCTTTGAAAAGAATGCAAGCGGTTCCTTAGAATGTTTAACTTCCTGTTGTAGAACACCCCCAATAGCTCTACTCGATGCATCTACAGCAATAGACAGAATTGCATTACTGTTGAAATGCGTTAACAGTGTTTTCCTAGCAAAACTCTCTTTAACTTGCTTAAATGCATATACTGATTCATCAGTCCATTGGAGCACTTTATCTTTGCTCTTCGATGCTTTTGTTATCATGCTATATATTGGGTCAAGCATTGCGGCAAGTTTTGGTATATACCTATGATAGAAGTTCACCATTCCTACAAACTTCTGCATTTGTTTGATAGTTATTGGTTGACCGAAATCAAGAATAGATCGGACTTTTTCCTCTGATGGTTGTATACCCTCGGATGATATGTTATACCCTAGGAAACTGATCTTTTCTGCTCCGAAAATGCATTTAGATGGCTTAATATTCAAACCGTACTTATCTAAACGCTGGAATAGCATATTTAAATGCTTTAAATGTTCTGCTTCGTCTTTGCTAGCTATCAATATATCGTCCAGATAAACAAAAGTAAAATCTAAATCGTGTAACACCTCATTTATGAATCTTTGAAATGTTTGTGCTGAATTTCGTAAGCCAAAAGGCATCCTGACGAATTCGAACATTCCAAATGGTGTGGTTATAGCGGTCTTATGGATATCTTCCTCTGCAACTGGTATCTGGTGGTACGCCCTAACTAAATCTATTTTTGAAAATATTTTCTTATTTTGAAATTCAATATGTAAATCGTGAATGTGTGGTAACGGATATCGGTCGGGTATCGTGATCAAGTTAACTCTTCGGTAGTCGCCACAAGGACGCCAGTCAGTTGCGTCTTTTTTAGGTACCAGGTGCAGTGGCGATGCTCCGTGGGATTTAGATGGACGACATATCCCGGATTTCAGTAAAAAATCGAATTCAGCCTTTGCTATTTTGTATTTGATTGGATCTAAGCGTCTCGGGCTACAGAATGGTAATACTCCATTTGTTATGATATGATGAACTGTCGAATGCTCAACTTTTTTGTTATAATCTGGTTCAGAAATTAATGAAGGAAAATTCTTTATAAGCTTTGTATATTGGTTTTCAACCGAAAATATTTTTGGCAAAGAGATATTACAAAACGCAGATATTGCGTCGACAGACAAGTTAGTTAAGGGATCTATTAACCTCTTATTTTTTATATCTATTAAGAGTCCATACTTCCCTAAAAAATCTGCCCCTATGATGGGTTTAGAAATGTCAGCAATAAGAAATACAAACGGAAATTCCCGACGAAGTCCCAAATTAACATTTAATAATTTCTTTCCATAGGTCGAAATCATACTGCCATTTGCAGCAGTTAAAATAATGTCGGAAGATCGTTTGTGAATTTTGAATTTGGAGGGAAGAAGAACTGAAATTTCGGCACCACTGTCTATTAAAAATTTAAGCTTACTTTCTTTGTCTAATACAAATAAGCGACGTGTTGAAAATTTCAAATTGCCATTGTTAGTCGCTGCAACAACAGCATGTCCTAGTTTGTCGAGTCAGAATTATTTCTTTTAAAGGCACACGGTTCTTCACACTTACGTGCTTTACTACCAAAACGGAAATGGTACCGACAGACCCAATTTTTAGATTGAGACTTACTACGTGACTGGGAATTTTTATTATTACTAAAATACCTCCTTCTTGATCGTGATGGTCTATCATATATTTGCGTTTTAATCTCATTAATGTCCAACTGCAAACGATTAAAACTTTCACACATTTTCGTCGTAACCTTCGCTAAATCTTCCACAATTTTCCCTAAGTCATCAAAATTATTTGAAGAAGTAAGTACTTTACTTTTAACAGCACAAATTTCACTACCACTGGTAATTTCCCAAATTTTATCTGCGAGTTGCAAGAGATCATTAATATTATTTAAATTAGCGCTGGTTAATGCAACATACAAACTTTTAGGTAGTTTCCGCAACCAAATATTTTTTAAGAAAATCGGGTCTATAGTGCTACCCGCTAACTGACCAAGGGTCCTATAATACTCGGAAGGTCTGCGATCCCCTATCTCAGTATCTGACAAAATTTTATCAAGTCTTCTCTGCTCGCTTAAAGAATGTCGGTCAATGAGAACTTTTTTTAAATTTTCATAAGTCTCAGTCTGAGGTGGATTTTGTATAACATCAAGTACATTCGCAATAACTTCTTGAGGCAAGGCAGTTATAACGAACTCGTACTTGGTCGAATCCCTACTAATTCCCTTTGTAGCAAATTGCATCTCGGCATGCACGAACCATGCTTCAGGACAGTTAGACCAAAATTGTGGTAATTTTACCGAAGTAGCACAAATTTCAGACCTGTCATACGGATTACGTATATTATCTTGTGACACCTCACAGGGATCTTCAATATCAATCAGAGACCTACCAAGTCTATCCCCAGCACCTTTTTCTTGAGGAGAACGCAACATATTGGAAGAAGGTTTACAAAAAAAAAAACTGTTCTTTGTATTTAAAAAAAAAAAAAAATAAAATTGTCTAAGTGTAAAATTTAACACAACTAAACTACGCTAACATAAACTTATCTATTTAGATGTTTTGATTGGTGACGGTTTAAAGACTGGATGTTTTGTGGTTGTTGTTAAGGTTACAGATGTTGGTGGCTGTTGCTGCTTCTATACGGCCGACTATAATTGCGACTGCTGTTTCTGTGACATTTGTTGATATTTTGTACTTGTTGTTGTTGTTCAGCGTCAGCAAAACTACTTGGCGAGTGCTTTAAACGCGATGAGGATGGATGATAATAGACAATTGTCGATGTGACAACGGCAGAACTTTCCTGTTGGCGTTGTTGGCGTTGTTGTCGTGATGTCTGCTTATGTTGCTTTTGTTGCCTCTGTTGTGACTGATTGTCGTCGTGGTAACGATGCTGACGCAAATATTGTTGTTGATAATGATGTTGCTGCACAAATGGCGATTGATGTTTGCGTTGTTGCTGCTCTCGTTCTCGTTCCTGTTCTTCTTGCTGTTGCTGTTGCTGCTGATGGAGCTGTTGCCCGTCGTCTTGCTCTGCTTGCAATCGCTCCTGATGCTGCTTTGCAGCTGAGACTGCTCGTATTGCTGAAGTGTGCGCCGTTATTCGCCCTCGTACACGGGGCGACTGGAGTAGTCGAAATCGGACGCGTTCACAAGCGACGTTTTCATATGTATTCACTAACTAGATGCAATGCAAAAATTCTTTGCAATCTTAATGCAATACTATAAAATCGCCGCGTCTATTCGTCGTCGTTATTGTTTTCAAAAATGTTGTTGGACGCGCCGTATCGCGTTCGTAAGAGTTGTAATAATTTGTGGTTGCTTTTGTTATTGTAGCCGTTGTCGAATTCAATTTCGACAAATGTCCTCGAAAGCGATTTTCACGTTTCTAAATTTTATCTTTGTTAAAAATTGCTCCTGGCAGGATCGCCAATTTTAGGTATATTAAAAAATATTTAATTTTCGTTTTTTTAAGTTTAACAAATTTTCCAGGTTTTATTTTATTGAATATTGAAAACTGAATAAATGAATATAAAAATTTTCAACTCAAAATTGATCGTACATAAATAAATGTAACAAGATATTTTCATAATTCAAAGTATTTTAAGAACAAGTGTTTAACAAGTAATGTGTATCACTACATGTACATACATACATATATTTTTCTCTGCACGATTCATTTCGTTTGTTGTTTCGTCTGTAACTACTAAACTACTGTAGTGTACTACCGCCAAAGTGAACTCAGCCGTTTTGTTTTCGTATTGCACCGAACTGTTGAAGTAATAAAGGAAACGAAATAGTAACGTACTATATAGTTTATTTTCGTGCCCTGTTTATAAATGTTATCGTTATTACGTCCATTCCTTATCTTTTCGGACAAAAATCTGAAAAGCAGTGCTACCGTTTGCTAATTTTCTTGCGAAGTGAAAACACACTAAAAGTTAAGAGTTTCGAAGTGACTTGGGCGAAAAAGTGAAGTGATCATCGAAGTGAAGACTTTGAAGCATGGTTAGGGGTGCGGGGTTTTTCGATTAGGTTATTTATCAGCTGATTGGTTAATCGATAATACTTTCATCATGATAAAGTTAATCTTTAACCTTTATCAATTTATAATTTATTGTGTACCTGTGCAAATTTAGTGCTGCAATATCTTCAAAATCACAATGTCTCAAACGCTGAGGAAAGAAAATCTAAAATTACAGTTCGCTGATGAAATTAACACTAAAATATAATAAATCGATTATCGGTTCACATCAACAATGTCTTCACCAGATATCTACACAACAACAACAGTGTTGCTGCGACGTTCAGAAGAATGTATCACCAAATTCCCTGAAATGGATCAAAAGTATCATGAAAAAAAATTTTAAGTATCAAAGTATCAATCGTCAAAAAACTTCTAATTCTTAAATTAAAATGGTAGTTTGAGTTTTTAATTGAGATCGTTGAAAGTTTTTATTACTATTTTATGGTTTTTATATAAAATATAGAGTGAAAACTAAGCTTTTATCCTCGGTGACAGTTGAATTCATTTTTGCATACTTAACTAAAATCACATATCAAATTTGTGTTTAACGCTGTCAACACATAAGAGTATATTTCAAAATTTGTACTGGATTACCTTGGATGAAATTCTTAGCCCAGTCCCACGTCCAACAGCTTCAAAATCAAAAAGGAAAAAGGAACGACAATATTAGCCCGCTCCCGCACTCCAGGATTTAGTGAGAAATTGTTCGCAAAATACATGCTAAATGTGTGAAAGGAAACGACTTCGGACAATTTCGGATTAAATCCTGGAGTACGGGACCACACTAGTTGTCTGTAGCTAACGGTGATGCCATATGCAGATTAAAGTTGATATCTTCAGTGAAAGAAAACAAATGCGTTGCCACAAAATCATAAATGTCTTAAGATGGAAAAAGTTACCCAAAACTTATTCGTGAATTAAAATGTATCACAATTAATACTCAGCTAAAAAAAAGTATCTTTTAAAAATTCGATTAAAAGCGTATCATTTTGATCCACTTGGATCAAAACGGCTACACTGAGCAACAACGGAATCACCAGATTCACTTAAATGTTTCCTTTTTGCTGTAAAATTGGAGATGTATGAAAACTAAAATAAAATTGTTGTTTTCGTCAAATATTTACTAAATAATTATGAAACTCTACCCACCTATTCCTTTTTGTGCGCTTTACATCTGTACATGTGAAAATGAAAATCAAAATGACCTCCCAAATAACCGATGCCAGATTGGAAATTTATTAAGCGTCTTTTTAGTAGCGAAAAGTTGCTTTGCCATACTTATCACTTAAAAAGGATGTTAGCAAAAGTTTCTTGATTTTAGTTAAATATATCAATTATTTAAACTCTTTTTTTTTTATATATTTTGAAGGTACATCTAATATGTGGAAAGTGAAGTAAAGCGAAGTAAAATGAAGTGACGAAGTGAAGGCTTCCAAAGTGAAGTGAAAAACTTCAATTTAAGTGACAGCGGCAGCACTGCTAAAAAGCAGTGTTGTCATTTGAGCCGTTTTCCGGCTAGATTTAGCCGGTTGCAATAGAAAACAGCGGGAGAAATTTCGGTTTAGCCGGCAGTCGACTTGTTAGCCGTTTTGTAAAAAAAAATTAGCCGTTTTTAGCCGATTTTGCAATTTGCATTGTTTTCTTAAAATTCAGATATATATGTTTCGTTAATTTACTAACCGACCCAAAATATGTTAGAAATGGCTACTAGTCTTATCGCGAAGAAGATTTTAATGTCGGGCAGGGTTATTTCCGATTTCGCTTATTTTTTTAATTGAATATATTTTTTCTAAAGAAGGCCGCAGCGGGGATTTTCTTCATAAAAAGTTTGTTATGAATGTCTTAAATTAAAATGTGACGTTTTATTCGCAAACTTAGAAAATAACAAATTTTTTCACTGTTTGCTTAACACGCGTTTGTGTTTGGATATAGTGCCAACTTATAGAATAAATATTACAGGTAGATATTGTCTTCCCAGATAGCGCATATTCAATTCTGCCTTAATTACAAAACATCATTTTTGCCCACTCCGAAAGGTTTAAGGAAAGGGAAAAATTGATATTTTCAAGCACTATGTACACATATGTATTTTTTAAACAAACTTTTTTGCTGAGAACTTATTTAAGTTCCAAAAACCGAAGACCAACTTGAAATAAAAAAGCACCAACACTGAAATGCGTCAAAATGAAGATAAAAGAGCACAAATTTCTATGTAAAGCAAAGCTCTCTGGGAACCTTACAAGACATCTGCCGGTCATATGACTGGTCATCTGAATGGGAGATCTGCAGGAGCCTTCGGACTACTGAAACTCGATTCGGAAGTAAATGACTCGAAAAATTCGAGTAAAAGCGAAATTTTCGGAGCAGATTTAAATTTTTTTATTAAATAGTATAAAAAAAATTATTCCAACTTTGTTCATGCAACTTTTTTTCTATATTTACGCATTATTTACATTCATATATGTATATGTATAAAAGTATATATGTAGGTATATTCCAGGTAGTTTTTCATTTCATCACTCATTGGGCCGTATGCATAAAAACTAAACAATTGCTTTATCTTAAAGTTTCATACCTTTCACTTAAATTTATTTGAACAAATTGAGTTAAAGTCTGAAATTTTAAGAAAAAGCATTTGCCTAAATTTTATGCATACGGCCCATTGTGTTTAATTGTAAAGCATTGGCACGGAGTGCTTGTAAATCAGCCTCATCTCTAAATAGTATTCAAAACAAACTTTCCATCAAACAAATGTACAATGCTTTAAACAAATAAGTAAATTATCAGACGGCGTATCAATTTCTGACATTTTGTTAATAAGAGTTCATGCGCAAATTGTCTACGCCTGTTCCTGTATTTATTTTTAATGAGATTCACCTCTGTCATTTTTTTTTAGCAGCAGCACTACTGCTCGGTAAAATAGGTAAAATAGCATATACTCTGCCAAATTGCTAAACATACACTTTTCAAAACCCATTTTTGGTCCCTGCTTTAGGAAAAAAAATGTGATTCCACAAGGAATGTTAAAGAGTAAAATAGACAACTTCTGTTACACCTTGCTTTACAAAGCCTTGCTGGTTGCCACAGAAGTTATTGAGCAAAAATTAAGAAGTTACCATTTTGTAATATATACTTAAGGTGAATGAAAAAAAAAAAGTTAAAAAATTGGAGCATATTTTAGGCTAAGCGGACTAGGGGTAGATTTCAAATTTAAAAAAGAAATCGGTGTTAATCTACTCCGATCGGAGTAAAGTCCGGACGCTGATCTGCAGCCTTTTGGCATCATATTTTACATCAAAATTGAAGGCATTTCTGAAAAATCTGACCAGTTCTTTTGTGTAAATGTGATTTTGCATCACTTGTCAACATATGGCTTCGGTTGATGTTAACTTAAGGTGTTTGTTTTACTGCCTTAAAATTTAAGGGAAATTTTTGTGTGTGTATTGGTTTTTATTAGAGTGTGTTGAGAATCGGTCAGTCTGAAAAGTCCTTTTCTTATAGGGAAGACAAAAGGTTTGTTCGCCGAAAATCCAGCGAGAATTATCATTGAAAATATCAGATTGTTAGAAAAATGCTCCCAAAGTCTTTCTCAAGTAGAGAAGCTTGCAAATTTGTGCACGGACGCAAATTTGCAGGAATTGGCAAGTTTTTCTGCCAGCTAGTGTCCACGGTTGCATTTCCAGCCATTTGTATAGAATTTTTAAAATTATTTCAGAGGGTCAAAAAACAGGATCTACATTTATATTTCTTTTTAGTCCGACTTTCTTCAACATATGTTTCAATTTCTTTGTCGGGCATTCACACAAGCACAAGCTCAATAACCTCTTAGGGCCGTTTGCACCATGTCTAGTTAACGCTAACTGGAGGTACATCCTTCAGTTAAGCACGTTAACTGCTTTATCGATCACATGTTATATGATGGGTGTCGATAACGTCGATAAAGATGTTTAACTGGGAGTTAGAATTAACTAGACATGGTGCAAACGGCCCTTACTATATCAATTATTTTTTGTATCCTTCCACTTTCAATTCCCTTTTTTTTACTTATTACAGATGGTACAATAATTTCAGGTATTGGTTTCCAGAGAGTTTAGCTTCGCATCGAAATTCGTGCTCCCTTATGTTCATTTTGACGCAGTTCAATAGTGATTCTTTTACTTTTATTTGGCTTTGCTTTTTGTTTTCGCTCAATTTAATTTATATCATTTTTGAAAACAAAAAAAAACGCGTTTGAAATGAAGTGAGCCATATAAATTTTGAATTTGTTTACTAAGCAAATGTTTTCTTTCGGCTGTTGCAAATTAAACAAATTCTCTGCAAGAAGGTTTGTTTAAAAAAATACGTGTACCTATATGGTATACGGGGTATGAAGATATCCCTTTTCCCTAGCAGTAACCCTTTTAGTGTGGGCAACAATGATGTTTTTCAAATAAGGCAGATCGGAATATGCGCTACCTGGGAAGGCAATACCTGTAATTATTGTACCATGCTTTTTAGATTATTCTCCGTTAATTTAAATCCAGTTGATTTTGACACTTTTCAAGATTTTGCCAACAAAAATTCTTCTGGCTAAATCTGACTACCTCGGACTGAAGAGAGTCACTCTAACTGAGTGTTGGTCTCTCATTTTTGCTGCCATTTTCGAGTTAAGGAACGCTTTTGGACTAAATCTGACTACTTCGGACTTTTTCTGGAAGATAAGGAACGCAACTATAGCCCAAAATACAATAACGCAGTGGCAGTGGCAGCGGCAGTTTTTCGAAATCAGCTGTTTTTAAGAAATTGTGGTGTCCAATGAAGCGACTCACAATATAGCTCAGTTTAGCCGAAATTCTAAATTCACTGCCACTGCCTTCATCGCAGCAAACTTCGCATGTTGAATTTGACATAAATTAAACGCAGCCAACTTCTGTTGATGTTACTAAAACCTAAAAGGCAACAACAAAAATGTAAACAAACAAAAGGGAATGTCAAAAAAAGCAGTCACTGACAATGCTGTATTGTGTTTGCTGCGGCAGTGACTGCCAATATTAGCAGTAACAGCTGATTTTAAAAACTGTCACTGCCACTGCGCTATTGTATTTTGGGCTTATTATTGATGTCGTAAGTTGCGACTCGCAACTAGAACTGTAGCAAACCGTATGTATTCGTTACTGAGTAACGAATACAACCCCAAACTCGAAGTACCGAATCGTTACTCACATAATACAGCCTTATTATGTATCTCGAACGATAGGCCGCACGAACGATTCGTCTGTAGGCGATATCGTCACGGATTGCAATTTTGTAACTCTGTCGTTCGTCTTCATCTTGTCTTTACGTCGATTACGTTGCAATCGTCTCGGTTACGTGTATGATGTTACGGGATGAAATTTTGATGTACTTCCAAAGATTTTTTCTTAGATTTCTAATATTTTCAGCTTATTTCAATGCTTTTTATTTTAAATGGGCAACATCGGAATTGTTTACATTTTGGTTTTGCTTAAAAGGGTTTTGGTTGTGTTGCGGAAAGAAATATAAGGAAAATTAATTTTTAAAAATGTATGCTGCTATAGCGCTAATGGACGCCGAGGAATCGGAAGAAAGGGAAAGGCGGATACAGAGGAGGAGATTGCGAGACCACACCAATGTAATGGAACTACCTGAGACTGAGTAAGTTCAAGATTAGCAAATAATTTTGGTATGCTACAATGTATTCGTTTCTAGATTTGTTGCAAATTTCCGAATCAATAAAGAAATATTCCAATACATATTAAACGAATTAAAAGAGCACATGGCTCCATCACATAGAAGCCTATCTATCGCACCTGCTGAAACTCGCGACTTTTTTCAGATTTCTCGCCGCCGGCAGTTACCAAAAATCTGTTGGTAACGAAAATATTTCGTCGATGGGGCAGTCAACTGCAGCCAACATGATCAGGGAATGCCTAAATATTTTTGAGGACCATTTTTGCGAGAAATGGGTGAATTTCGGCCAGGAAGTGACAACCACCATTTATACCTCAACCGCAAGGGTTTTTACAGTCTTAATGTAATGGCGGTAGGTTAATGATTTATCTTTACAAGTATACATAATACACAAACTGAGTTTCCTTACAGATATGCGATCACAACATGGTAATCACATTTGTTGACGCTAGGCATCCAGGGGGCAATCATGATTCATTTGTCTGGAATGTGAGTCACGCAGAACAGGAGCTAAAATCTGATTATAACAATGGAAAAACCAACACATGGCTACTCGGTAAGTTTTAAAACTTAAAAAGGCTATACAACTATTACTGACAATGAAAATTTTTGTAGGTGATTCTGGTTACCCCTTGCAGCCATACTTGATGACGCCATTCAGAAGTGCAGCCGATGAAATTCAACGAATTTACAACACAAAGCACTCGAAAGCTCGTAATCTAATTGGGAGATGTTTCGGTGTTTTGAAAACCCGATTTTGATGTATAATTGGCTCGAGAGGGCTACACTATTCACTAGAAAAAGTTACACAAATTGTAAATGTGTGCTGTGCTATTCATAACGTTTTTATATTTTTCAAACATCAAATTCCATTGGAGAGCCCAGATATGGATAATCTTGTTAGTTACGAAGAAGAACTTGAAAACAGTAACATTTCGAATACAGCTGCCCTTATTAGAATGAGAATAGCAGAGAGTTTGTTATAAACGCAGTTTTATTATAAAGTATGTGTGTCTAGATTTCAGGTACACCAGCAAAATTCATTTGTCTTAAAATTAATAAAATATTAACATAAAATTCAACAAAATATCTTTTCAGACTTAAATCCTAAATCTACATATACACTAAGTAAATGCAACAAAATATTAATTACGCTTAAATCTAAAAAATATTTACACAAAAAAAAACAAAATATTACTTCAATACTCTCACAATAGTGGTATGAAAATTAGTTCCGGAAGTACTCCACAATTTTTTAAAAAATCGTAGATTGGCGTTCCACTGCAGCAGTTAATTTGTTTGTGGCATCCACCTGCAGCATTGATGCCTCTGCCATTTTTTTTGCAGCCTCAGCCTGCACTTTATGGGCTGTTTTTGCTTACGCGTAAAAGCACATTTAGTGCATTTAGCTCTAAATGTAAATTTATCCATACAAAATTCGTCACCTAAATGCAACTCCATTTTTGCATTAAGAATCTAAATGCTAAAATCAACCCTGTGATGTTCTAAAATTTCCACGATTCGAACATGGTTTAATGAGAAAAAGTGGCAACATTGCTTTTTCGCGTATACAGTGGCTAGCTGCGTTTCAGTGATCGCCGATCTAGATTTCATTTACTATTTTACATTATATGGATAAACAAAAGTTACGCAAATTCAACATCGATGTGATGCTGATATATATCTGGACCAATTTGTGATCAACTCGGTTCGTTTTGTTTCCAAATTACCGACAGCACCGACAAATGAATATATACACAAACAAATTTTCGGTGATGGTTAAAACAATTCAAGTTTTTGTCTTGAATTTTTGGTTTAAAATGTTTTTTTTTCTTTTCAGTAGGGTTTTTTGCACATTATCTTTTCCGTGAAAATTGATCGTAATAGATACGGATCTGAACAAGCGACTGGAACACGGCTCTTTAACAAAAGCATACGATTTCGAACTCGCGTAAATGTACATTTGCTAAATGCGATAGCATGAACGCTCTCCGAAAACATATGTTCGAAAGTGCTAAATGTTGCATTTTAAATGCAGCAAAAACGCTGCATTAGCGGCTTCTGCTTGGACTTTGGCAGATTCAGCCACTGTCTCCTGGAAGGTGCGCTTCCTATTAGTGGAACGTAACGTGTGCGTTGGAGTAGGACGGGTTGTCTGTGTAGTGGGAGTCTCTACTCCCACTGGTGGTGGTTGGTTGTGCCTGATAGGAGATTGAAGGGTGGTTGTTTGTTGTCTTCGTTGGTCAAGTGCTGGCGATTCAGTCACAAGTAAAGGAATCATTTCCTCCATCGACGAATGTCTTGACATGTTAGAGGTCGACGTCGAAGGAATGCCGAAAACTCCGCCGCTCGGGGCTGCTGACCTTGAAATAAAAACAAGGCTGTCTATGGCCTGCTCCATTTCGGAAAGCGGAGAGTGACGGAATGGGCCACCACAGGTAGCAGTAAGGCTTCGTGTGTTTTCGGCAATCTTCTTTTTTGTCCGGCTTTTCAAGTCAGCCCAAATCCATAAAAAAAAATAAAATAAAATTCAATGTCAGTAAAATGGAAATAGTGCGCAAGCATTTATCTACCAGATACAATTTATGCACATATGCTTAATTAATTCCATTCGACGGCCGTTCTTGTAGGTGGGCCAAGAGAATTAATTTTCCTCATAACTTCCTCCCACCGCTCCTCTACCCTTCCTCGATCAGATCCAAACACTGCAACACCTCTAGCCAGGTCTGGATTTCTCTCCATTTCTTTTACCAGTACCTCAAATTGAGTGGTTGTAGTTTTTTTCAGCGCTATAAGCATAAATATTAATATAATTCCTTACACCAAGTTATATTTTTTTATTTTCTTACTTTGAATTAATAGCTAAGATAATTTTTACAAGGCTGTTTGAGTCTTTAATTATAATTTTTCAATGTTCATCATTTTCAAGAATTGACTCATGTATTAACAGGATTGCATCGGGATAAACTCTGTTTGATAGTGCGTTCGATCGACTCATTTCCTGTGTTGCATATAAACACTTTCATTTCAAGCGAGCTACGCTGACACGAGTTAACTCGCGTTTGATGCCATATAAACAAGGTAAATACAACACAACATATCGTGCGGGAACGAAACTGTTGTTCGTATCGATACTAAAGTTTGTTGTGTGTATATGTACGACACTTTTCGGATCGGTATCGCACTTTTTGATGCACGGTCCGAAAATTGTCGATAACTGGTTACAGAACCTCCCCACTGATGTCAGTCAGTGATTGAAGTGTTTGAGAGAACACCTTAGGCAAAGTTTAGTACATCTTATCATAAGGAATATCTCGATATTGCGTTAATGAATGATTTTTGCACGGTAATTTCGGGATAATAGTAATGCATTATCCTCTTAAGATACCACAATGAGGAACATTTCTTTAGCCCTTAAGNTGTGGTATCTTACCACAGGCAAGACCGCACGAGGCGATTTTTCAGGCAACTTTTAGTTGAAAGCAAAAATCACCTCGTCCGAACGGCTTTTCAACTAATCGCTTTCAACAAAGTTGGTCGCCAGCCAACTTTGAGCTCGTTCAACTTTTTTTCCTTGCAACCCTGTGTTTGTTTACATTCTATATTTTTAGTATTCATTACAAAATTGTACTAAAAAGTACTGCGTAGTAGGAAAGTATATTGTAAATGAAATTGTATCAAACAAGTACAATTGTACCAAAAATGCCAACACTGTTCTGTATACATACTTTTTTATTTTTTTATTTTTTTACTCTTATTTTATCTTTCAGCTTCGCTAAAAGCACTTCTACCAACGCTTGGCTTACCAAATTTACGCCAATTGAAAAAATTTTGCGATTTAAATTTATTTTCAATAATGTAAATAACGATTCGTGTTGAATCGAAAATCGCCTCGTTTGAATAGGGATGGCAACTTTTTCACTTTCAACTTCTCATTCAACTTCGTATTCACGGTGCAGCGAACAAAGGTGGCGCCGTCAGTGCTACCGCTACTTTGGTTTCGCCGATTTTGACATTTGTGGTAACTTGTAAATAAACTTTTGTTACAAATCAGCGAAAGAGAAATTTGAATTATAAGTGAAAAATCAGTTTAAATCGTGTTAATTTGCAATTTGTGAGTGATTTTTGAGTTGAAGACGCGTAAAAACGAATACAATGAAGTGCTGTGTGTTAAATTGCGACTGTCGTCAAAATGCAAGAAGCGTAGATGCAAATGTAGCGCTGGGACGAATCGCTGCATTTTGTGTACATAGGGTACGGCAAAGCCGTTCCCGAAATGTTTCTCTATTATTATATTAACAGCATTTCGTCACTATGATTTTGTTTCTGCTCCACGCAGCCTCCATTAGCAAGTTAACTAACCAATCCCGCAGAGATGATGCTGCAATTTTCTGCAGCAGCCTTAATTGCAAAGCAATGGAGTGCACTAAAACGTTTGCTGAAGCAGCCTCAATTGCAAAGCAATGGAGAGCACTAAAATGTTCACTCTTCTCTAATAGATTAGGTGAAAAATGCAATATTTTCTCATTTAGCAAAATTAAAACACGTTTTTCGCTGTAAAGTGAACTGCTTTGGCAGTTTCAACTCGTTCTTCTTTTCGCTCTATTCTTTGTTTACTTGTGGTACACAAATGTCAACGCCCAGGACGGCGCAATCTTGTATTTTATCATTCTTGCTTCGTATTCAAATTTTGTTGCCTGTTGCCTTGTTGTAATACTCCTATATTGACAGTAAGAGCTAGTACCGTCCGAAAACACTACAGTACAGATAGATCAATAAACAGGTACGAAAGAAAAGGAACACATACGTTTATAAATAAACATGTACACAACACATATAAAAAAACGGCACTCAAGTACACAATCTATTGACAAAAACGGTACTAGACTGTCTCGCTTTGATTTCGGAATGCTTACACATTGAGATGTTTGCTTACTGCCAATATAGAAGTATTACATATATGATTGATGCAAAATTAGTTGATTAAGTCTTCGCCATCGTAGCCCTCAGCTAAAAAGTTCGCTGCTTGAGGGTTAGGAATGTTTGGCTTATTTTTGAGTCACAAATACACTCCCAAAGTTTGATCATTAAAACTCTGAACACCCTGTATATATGTGTTATATTATATACTCAAAATTATGGACTGGCTAATGTAGATATTTTTCATATGTAACAAAATAATATTGTTGATTAAATAAACAAATAATACCAAGCGGGATATTCTCTAAATATAACTACAGGCTTAAACAAAATTGGTTACGTTTCAGTAAGATATGCTAGAAAATAAATGAAATGAGTGGCAACACTGATCGTGTGAGGTACAAGCCAGCGATGGAAAAATAGCCACAATAGTGCCATTTTACCACTTACATTCTCAGAGGCACTTTTGGCACAAGGCATCCTGTTTTGGTACAATCATAAAATATAGAATTTAGCATGAAATGCCAATATATAACAAACAATCACATACCACATTATAGATTAGAAAATAACAAGTGAAAATTAAAAGCACTAAAAAATTAAAATAAGGGGCGTGAGAATTATTTACAAACCGCTGAGTTCTATTGTGAATACGCAGCACGAAAAGTAAGTTTTCGAAACAACAAGCTTCTAATTCAGAATTTTAAAAAGATTTTAAATTTGCAGTTTTATAGTCCATTAAATAAAAGTGCAAGTTTCTGCAATATCCCGATGATTTTTAATTTTTTTTGCTGACGGTGTCATAAATTTTCATCCATTTAAAAAATTTTCGAACACACTT